AAATTTTTTAAATCTCTTATGTTCACCAAGGCTGCATTTATGTTAAAAATAAACAATGACTTTTTTTCTATTTAATATATTATACAATTTTATTTATTCTTGTAGCTTAATTTTCAACAGGCATTACTCCAGTCTTCAGTGTCACATGATCATTCAGAAATCATATGCCGATTTGGTGCTCAAGAAACAGTTCTAATTATTTTGAATGTTGAAAACAGTTTTGCTGCTTAATTTATTTTGGAAACATTGATAGCTTTTTCAGGATTCTTTGACAAATAAAAATGTCAAAAGAACAGCATTTATCTGAAATATAAATCTTTTTGTAACATTATAAATGTCTTTGTTGTCACTTTTGACCAATTTATTGCTTCCTTGCTGAAAAAAATAATTCATTCATTTTATATATATATATAAAAAAAATGTTTTTACCGTTATGAGTCATCAGTTTATATAGTCTGAGCAATAGAGAGCAAGACTAGAAAGACCACAAGTGCTGAGTAAGCATCCGGCTAATGTGGGTGTTCCTGCACAAACCCACTCAAACAACACACACACACACACACACACACACACACACACACACACACACACACACACACACAGAGTTTCCCCACTGACCTCCATTCCACAGGCTGAATTCATGCAGGTCTGACAGCAGTAACTGTGAACACGTGAGCTTCAAGCAGCTGTAGGGGGGCCAGCTGGCCAAAGTGTAACCACATGATGGATCCTGGGGCCTACAGAGAGGCATCTGGGAACTATTAAGACTTGTCAAAAACAGTGATGGTGTTTGACAAACAGAAAATGATTCATTATCAAATGCATTCTCAACAAATACATCATTGAAACTATAAAAACACACCAAGGAAAACACTAAAAGGAATAGTTAGCAAGAAATATTATTAGGTGACAAAATAAATAGTCTAGAACATGCAATGAAAAACAATGCTGGTTTAAGGGAAATTCAATGGGTCTCCTGAAATAAGCAGCAGTCATATTTAAAGCAGTTTAAATTAATATTGAGTACTGATTGATGTTCACTTGGATTTTTCCCCCATCGAGGGAACTTAATACTTTGTCATTAGACGAGCTATTCAGTAGTCGAAAATATGAAATTGATAAAATGGGTTATTAATCCGTACAACTGCAGCAGCAGAGGACTATTATTCTGCTGCATGATACTACAGAAGAACTGATGATGGCACAGTTTGATCTTCGGTTGACCAATCAGCAGAAAGGGGCGTTTAATTCCCGCCCACATGTAGCAAGCAATCAAATATTCAAACTGTTTATTCAATTTTCCACCCATGAACGAAAAACGAAAATTTAAGCTGAATTCTTGTTTTTTGGAAAAAAAAACAAAAAACAAAACGAAAAAGGATCAGTTTTCTAATTTTTCTACTTTCAATATTAAATCAAAAAACGAATGATCGAATGATACACAGATTCTCCTCATGCGATTTACCTGTTTTTCAACTCACTGTCTATATGTTCATCATATTTTCTTTACATTTATCTGATTATTTAGTCAACTATTGTTTATCTTTAGGGTTAAAATGAACAGCAGGAGATCGACCATACAGTGTCATTCTTTATTTTGCTCAAATATTTTTTAAATATGAGTCAGTCCTGGTACAACGTTTTTCAACAACTTGTTAGTTTAATCTTTTACTAGCCTATTTTGGCAACATATGATGAATATCCTGTGGTAATTATAATACACTACCAAAATAGATAATCTTAGCGAATGCGAGAATAGAAAAAAATGTCTGCAAAGGTCCACAAAGTTTGAAATATTTATTCCCTGCACTACTGATCAGTGATGGAGTAGGAGCGACATCCAGCGGTGAAAGAAGTACGACAAGTGCAGGTTGTGATTGAAAGACATGTTTATTGGTTTGAACTTCTGTTCACCTGACAAGCAGCCACTAGTTTGTGGCTGTAATATACAGTCTTACCAAAGAAAACAGCCTATCTGAAGGTAAGTGAACTTTAATCAACTTTCGGTCTTCCTACTCAGGATCACTATCACACATGAAAAACATTGTACATTTGTAGTTTTACAAAGCGTTTGCCTGACAAAATGTCAGTTTGGTGGCGTATTTACCTTGCAAACGCAGTTTTAGCAGTGATTTGAATAGGTCACAATGGCTTTTAAACACTATGCAACATAAATTCACTGTTGTGGGGGAAACGGTGGGGTCGTAGACCCAAAGACTTTGGTAGACCTCTAGAGCCAGCATTCTAGATACCAGCTGGTCATACCATTTTACGGTGGTTAAAGGCACAATATGTAAGATTTTTTAAATTAAAATATCCAAAAACCACTAGACCAGTGTTATATATTTTGCTGACTTGTGTACTTACATTATCCCAAATGTTTCAAAGAATGTTTAAATCCAGAGAAATAAGAAATTGTAACTAGTGACATGGACCATGTCATTTCCGGTTTTGTTTTGTAGAAAACATGGAAACACCAAAGACGCTTTAATATGTTGTGCGTTTTATTAGACAGGTGACGACTGCACAGAGTAGCATTATAACAGAACTATAACAGAAAATGTATCTAGTATGATAAAACAGCGCTGCTTTTTCCCCCACATACGCACGACCAGTGTAGTGCCGAAATTTGCACCCTGCCAGATTATGCACCCCCTAGTATTGGTAGGTTTAGGAGTAGGTGTGGGGGAGGGGTTAGGATTAGGGGTGGGGTTGGGATTAGGCAATCAGGTAGCGACTTCAACGAGGGGGTGCATAATCTGGCAGACGTGCAGAATTCGGCACAACACCGGAAGGAGCAGAAGCGGTCGACTGTGGCATAATAAAAGCTCCCCTGCTTTCTAACCATGTGTCACGCTCTTTCAGCAGCCTTGTTTTCGATGGCTTTCAGCCTCACCCTGCTTCATTCTACTATGTTAATAAATCATTAGCTCATCCATGAACATGATTTCTGTCCGAATCCCATCGGATCGCATCGGCTGTGGGGATGAAGACGACAACTCCCATGATTCCACACTCAGTCACAGTGTCATCAAACTATCCCCTTGTCCAAATACCCACACTTGTGGTCTTGGCCACTTGAGAGCGCGACAGGAAGTAAGTGCGCAAGACTGTCCCAGGTCTTAAAAATGGCAAAGCGCAGTGCCCTTAACGCACACTAAATCCACACTATCTCGAATACCGCTCCGGAGCGCTATTCGAGGCTTAGTGTATCCCATCATGCATCATGTTCTGGAAATAAATCGTGAGTCTTTTTGCTGAGATCTCGCGAGAGGTCACGAAAACCTTTCCAATGTAAGTAAAATATTAATATAAGAATTAGATATGACATATAATGTGGTAGAAAAACAGTGTTTAAAATTGTCATGTTATAGGGACAGTATTCAGTAGTATGTTCAGTAGTATGTTGTACTACTGAACAGACATTTAGAAGTTGATTTTATAATGCAAAGTATTTAAAATTAAAATAAAGCCATGTAAACACTTGCATTTTTACAACACTACAAGTGTGTCCCATCAGCTAATGAAAAGTTCGACACACACTTGTGGCCTTCATCCTCACTTGAGCCAAATACAGGAAATACATCATGTAAGTAGTCAAGTGGTCAAGTGCAAAGACCGCAAGTGTGGGTATTTGGACAAAGTATATGCCTATGTCTCTTTGTTTATTTTGAATACGCGCCCTCTAGCGGCGAAAATTACATATTGTGCCTTTAAACTGGTTTTTGGAGCATGGCTGCTGGTCAACCAGAATCTCCCAAAAACCAACGCTTAAAATATGAACATATATACACTGCAAAATGAATACACTGTGTATTAAAGTAAACCAGTGCGTTAAGTTCTTCAGTGGCCATAATATTCGTGGATAAAAATTCTCAGTTCCCTTATTGAGATGTCAGTCAGCGGCCAATAGATGTCAGTATTGGCCTCCGTCTTCGACAGAGCGAAAGGGTCTACGTAATCTAATGATTATTACCTTAAGTGTAATCATATTTCATTACTACAAAATAGTATTTCTTTTCTGTTTACCTTCAAAGTAATAAAAATATAGGGAAATTCAAGTGATAAAAGGAGAGGTGTTCAGCGCATTCCTTGTCATCAAGTAGGCTAGCTGATGTATTCAATTCCAATCTTTAAAAAAAAATTCTTGGGAATTAAAGGCATGGAACACCATCGCTGTAACTTGGTTCTTGAGGAAGTAAACTTGAAATGCTGCTCATTTGTCGGACAAACCTCTCATGTCTCCTACCAGGACAGAGCGAGACGCCAGTCCCTTTGACTGACCTTCTCATCCGCCAATCAATTGAATGGATGTGTGGCGAACCTCCAATCACAGCAGAGAAGAGGCGGGGCTTTCTCGGAATAGCCTCTTCACTATTACGTCATGCGCGAACAGCTGGTTCGTTGCAAGAGCTGAAAATGTGGACAAGCGTAGCGATATAAAAATCGCGTCCGTGCCGTCGGGGCGTAAACAGTCAGTTTATCACGATGTGGTGGCTGGAAGGGTTTAGGTCGGGGATGGCCCGCCTGGAGATCCTGTTGCTTGTTTACACCTTGCTCTGCTCTCTCGGAGGTGAGTCGCTCAGTGAGGGTTGAAGTGAGATCTCTATCTTGATGCAGTGGAGCTGTCCTTTGTGCTGGTGCTGAACTACTTCACTCAATGGCTCGGCCGTAGCCAATATCGCATTCAATGCTAGTGCACTTTGGCCACACAGCAGGTGGAATGCGTTGCTTCTTTGCGCTGGTGTCTTATTTGTGTTTTAGTGTTGTCCTAGGCACATCCCCGAGAATAAAGCACGGACTACAGTGTGCTACATTCTTGAGGAGCTTCGCGCGAGAAGTGGATGCTTCTTTATGTCTAGCAAGACTTCATCATAATCTCGGACCTAAACTGAGAGCAAAGTAATTATGTATCACGTTCCGCACTTTATTGCCTTGTATGCCAAGTGTACGTTGGCCTATATCGGGTTAACTCAGTTTTATTCTATTTGTAGCCAATAATCAGTTTTAGTTCAGCGTGATTCCCATAGTATCGGAATCATTTGCCTTCGGGAAATATGCGGGCCAATTATCCAATTATTGCTTTTTAATGTCAGCGTGTAACTCTGGAGACTTACCTCTAGTCATCAAACGCTTGATAGCGCTAGAAGAGCGCCGAATTGTTTCTTGTTTATCTCGATTGTTTTATGCGTTTGTGTAGATCGCATCGATAAGGAAGTTAATCTGGCTGCCAGAGCAAGACAATACCTGCGCTGCTGTGCCTGAAAGCGCATCTGATGGATGCTGTGCTGCTTTAGTGTCCGCTCTACTTGAGCTCCGACACTGACTTCACATCTCTTGCTGTTCTTAGGAATAACAGGCACTGTGGTCTTCGTGTCTTTTGTGCTCTGTTTTTCTTTACTCCATCCCGTTATACGAGGATGATAGTATGATTACGAACGGCATACAAACCCAAATAGTAGCTATATTATTGTAGGCTATATTTGCTGGTGGGTTCTGGAAACGTTACAAGGTGCAGTTGTTTGTTTGAAAAAAAAGAAAGAGATATAGGCGAAAATAACTTGTTTCGATTTTTTATCACTGTCAAATGTGTTGTTGTTATTAAATATTATTATTATATTATTATAAATTTTTTTGTTTTTTTTTATTATCAACTTACAATTCCTGTAATTTTGATCAGATTTTCAGAGTTTCAGATTTTTTTTTTTTAATGCGGCATGGTTGAAAAAGTGTTATGAACCTTCTAACACACACACACACACACACACACACACAGTGGAAATGTTTTCGATTTCCTCCTGTGAATACTTTTTAAATTATTTGTCTACTTTACTTACTGCAGACAAGATTCATAATTCATGAGAAATTCATAAACATCACTTGATTAACAGGGCACCAAATGCGTTGCAAGGAGATACGCCAGTCACAGGACTTGGCTGTGCGCTCGCATTGATCACAGTATTGACAAGCGGCAGGAACGGAGTGATGCTCTGAGGCTAGCACAAAGGAGCAAGACCAATGAGCCATCCAGTCTCATGGGAGAACGAGTCAGAGCACACCAAAGAAAACAGTTCAATGTGACAAACGTAGACAAAGAGCTGGGCTGAGACTCAGTGTTGTTCAGTCTGGAATCTGACTGCCACTCTCACACCCTCTTAATATTTTAACTGGGTTCGATCTAATGCTCAGTCCCTTTTTTAAGCTGTTACAGTCAATACACACATTTTTTCTGGGTCAAAAGAATTAGATAACTGAATCTATCTATCTATCTATCTATCTATCTATCTATCTATCTATCTATCTATCTATCTATCTATCTATCGACAATGTGCGTTTGTGTGTAACAAATCTTTGTAGTATTCTGAATATGAGAGTGACTTTTATGTTAAAACGAAGCATGCTTGTGAGATCCCATTATGCTGAGATGTGACCCGTGAAGGGAAGCTTTGCACCGAGTGGTAATACATTACTTAACACTCACATTTACTGCGTAAGTAGGTGGCGTATTATTATTGAGTCGAACTCACTTTAACCGTTGTTGAGGCAGCACTGGCTCATTTGAACCAGCAGCTATAGTTTATATGTTGAGTGAATGACCAATTACAGGGGTCATATGATGCGATTTCAAGTTTTCCTTTCTCTTTGGAGTGTTACAAGCTGTTCGTGCATAGATAAGATCCCTAAAGTTGCAAAGACTAAAATCTCAAACCCAAAGAGATATTCTTTATAAAAGTTAAGACTCTTCCACGCCCTCCTAAAATGCCTTGATTAAACACGCCCCCACGTGTCTACGTCACTGTGTGGGAAGATTTGCATAACACCGCCCAATTGTTCACGCAAAGAAAGAAGGAGTAACTTTGATTCTCGCTGTAGTATTGTTTGTTGTTGCCGTCATGTCGTGAAGACGCTGTGTGTTTTGTTGTGAAAGCGAAACTACTTTGTTTGGCCTTCCAAAAGAGGACACAACTAGAAATCAGTGGTTAAGTTGTATTTACAACACTGTTCCAGAACAGTTCAAACCAAATATTCATGTGTGTGCAACGCATTTAACGGAGGACTGTTTCCTGAACCTACAATGCCGGCTGTTCTGACTCATAAACTGTAAGTATGTTTTCATATTTAAAGAATTTGCCACTGATGATTCAAACACGAGTTTTGAGCAGTGTAGAGGGTAGCGCTTGTTGTTTGTCGTTTCTCCGATCACAAATACAGACATGGTTTTATGTTTACGTGGCGCGATACGCAATGCAATGCATAAAAAGACAATATAGGTCATTATAATCCATAATTACGTCCCCACTGGATGCAACAAATGCCTCGTTTATAATGTTTTTTTTAATGTTTTTGTCTCATCGCTCCATCACAGGATGGTGAGGGGCGTAACATTTCCGT